TTGGGAGATGGGGAGGGAAAGCACATACATAGTTCTCCTGGAACCTGACGGAGCTTCCCAGGAGGGAAGGCTCAGGAGATGAAGATCCCTACCGTGCCCAGAACCCTCAGTCTAACCAGCTCCAGCCCCCACCAGCGCCTCATCCTGGGGTCCCCTCATTTGTCACTGGATGCCAAGTCCAGGCCCGGGCACTCCTAGCATCGCCTACCACCCAATCCCCGATACTCGGGACAGCCCCTTGGGCGCCGAACAGTCCGCAATGCCCGCGCACAGGGATGCGCCTCCTAAGAAAAAAGCAAGGCGCGGGCGATGAGCGCCGCGGAGCCCCGTACTTACACCAACTGCCACCGGTCCTGCCCAAAAACTCCTTCTTCTCCGAGTTCCATATGAATTTCTTCCAGCTGCCTTCCTCCTTGGCTTTTCCGCGGGCCATGGTGGCGGCTCAGCAGTGGTGGCCGAGGCCAAGGGAAGGCGAGTGCGGCGCGCGCCCTGGCGTCCTCGCGGCGGCTGCTCGGTGTCCCCCGCGGCCCGGCTCTGTCTCCAAAGGCGAGACGCGCCGCTGCCGCTGCGGCTCTGCGAGTGCGAGGCGTGCGGCGGAGCAGCCGAGGCAGAGCGGGAGGAGGGGGAGGTGCGGCGGGGGCGGAGGGAGGAGGGACGAAGGAGGAGGGCGCGCGCGGGCTGGGCGGCTCCGAGCCCCGCACCTAGCGGTGGGCGCGCGACCGCGCTCCGAACGCTTTTCGGGGGGTCTCGGCGAACCCCGCAGCGCCAAGCTGTAGCTGCACCACTCTGCCTGCTGTGACCTCTGCCAAGACCGGTCAGGGACAAGGAGGGAAAGTCACCGGGAAGGACGAGAGGAGCGGAGCGCGGGCTCGACACACGCGCGCGCAGGCCACGAGCCGAGAAATTGGCTGAGGGCGCACGCCCTACCTTTACTATATACCGCGCCTCCGCCACCCGTAGCCACGCCCACCGGCGACACGGCGGACCAATCGCCACCTCCGAGAAGGCGGAGCCTGAGACCCGAAGGGGCGGGCGCGGGGCTGCCACAAAGGAGCCGGCTGGGCTTGAGGGGCTGGCGCGGCGGCAGGGGCGCGGAGAGGGACTGGGGGTTGGTGAGTTGTACCCCGGGTGCTCTGCGCGTCCTCTCTTTGCCCCGAGCTGTTCCCGGACACTCCCTACGCTGGTGCGGTGACTTGCACCTGCATCGATCTCTGGGAGCCCCGGAGACCTCGGTCTTTTGGTATCATCCTCGTGTCTGGTACCCCCACACACACCTCCTGGCCTGGCTTTGCTGCAGGTCCACTTCTCCTAGGCCCTAGCTGGGTGGGGTAAGGTCACTCCGGGACGCTAGTGACTCTGCCCAGCTCTGCTCCGCCTCTCCGCTCCTGCACCTGCCGCCCCCTCGCGATCTCGGCCGCTGCGGTTGCAGTTCCGGCCCGTCCCTCACCCAGCAGGCCAGCCCAGCGGGCAGCCTGGGTTCCTGACTTCTGGGCTGTGCTCCTTGTGGGCGGCCTGAACCACCTCAAGCCGGACAATTGCCAAACCCACCCTGGTCTATAGCTGGGAACTGGTTGTGGCTCCTGCAAGTCTAGACCCCGGGGAACAATCACTGCACATGACCCAGCCACCTAAGACTCTCCTGGCCCAGGTCCGTGGCTGGTATTCTCCTTGGCTTACTGTTGTATCTCACTGGGGGCACCCCTACCCTCTACTGTAGAATTCTTGGAATGACAGAACACTGGAAGGCCCAGCTCATGTGTCAGGGCGTCGCCAAGCTCAAGGTTGGACAGGACCTGCGTCCCACCCTTTCCAAACTTGGTGGCTGAAAAACCACTCTTATTTTCATCCACTGAGCCCCTGAGCAGCTTCCCACACAGCTCTTGGGGTGATGACACAGCAGAAAACGTGGCGATGCTTCTGCAGTGGCTGCAGAAAAGCCTATCCCCAGAGCGGCCTGGCTGGTTGTGGAAAGAGCTAGCTGCTTAACAAGGACCTTCCCAAAACAGAGGTGATTTCCCAAGGCACCCTGCCATTTTCAAGGTCAACCTTGGAGGCCCAAGGACAAGATCGAAGGGCTGCGAAATGAGCTTGTTCTCACTAATCTCACTTGCAAGACTGAAGAAAACCTGGAATTTCCCAAAATTTAGGGACAGAGCAGCAACCTAGTCGCACCCAGCCGGTGGGGCTACAGCCAGGGGCCAGGCTACATCAGTGAGAGAGGCTTGTTGAGAAAGGAAGTCACCCCTGCTTTGCCCCTGCAGTGTTTATTTTTGGAAAAGCCCCAAGTTGGTGGTTGATGAGCTATTGGAAGAGGCTGCACCTGTAGATTCGATGCCCCTGATCAGTCTCTAGGAAGAATTTACATTGTGGAGGGGGTTCCAGCAGACCAGACCACTGGGAAGGCTCTATATATTTTAAGTGCTCACTACTGTGAGATGGAGGAAACCCTGTGGGCAAAATCACCAAAAGAACCATCAGGGATGAGGATGAGGATAGAGGTAGCTTCAAGAAGGATAAGGCTTGGCAGGAATTCAATGGTTTAAACCTATAATCCCACAATCTGGAAGCAGATGCAGGAGGATTGTAAGTATGGGGTTAGCATAAACTGTGTACTGAGTGCTGGACCAGCCTGAGCTACAAAGAGTGGGGAGGAGGGTGGAAGAAAGAAAAGGAAAAAAAAGTAATGGCTGTTGTGGTACCCATCCCTCACCACCCTTGTGCCTCAACATTCCCACAAGCATGCATTAACACAAGCACGTGTTAACACAAGCACATACAGGTTCACAGAGACAGGTCTTACTCTTTTTTTTTTTAATCAAAACTTCCTTTATTCTTTTAAAGAAAAAAGTGCTGGCCCTCACTTAGCTGCCAATTTGTGTGACAAATGTCAGTCAGTTATACTGATGTCGTGTGAGACAAACCAGCTTTCTTTCTCACCCGTCCTGTCTCCCTCTAGTAGATGTCTCCCCTTCTCAAGTGAGTTCGCCTGCTCCGCACGAGTCAGGCCTGCTGACCCACAGTGGCATCTCGCCTAGGCTGGGCAGAAGCACTCCTGTTCCCACCCAGAGCTGCAGTACACGGATCTCGCCCACTTATGTGGGAACTGTTTCTTTCAATGGCTCACCTCAAGCCCCACCTGCCCAGCCAGTCTCCACCATCTGGAGCTGCCTCATGCACTTCACCTTCTTTCCACAGAGAGCAGCCCTAGGAAGGCTAAGATAGAGATGTAGCCGCAGACCTCACTCCCAGGCCAGGCAGGCAGCTTTCCATCTTTGGTTGACCAAGGCGCTTGTTCTCTCCAGGGCTGTTCCCTCCGCTGTAAAATTAGAGCGTTACATTGTAGCCAGGATTAAAGGAAGGATGTGGGAAAGTGTTAAGCACACTGCCTAGCGCATAGCAAGGGCTATTAAGTAGCTAGCTTAACAATAATTCCTTCCATGTGACCTTGGGTAACCTTGAAGCTATTGGTATGACATTATGACTGACCATCTTACTCTGATACTTAACCAGGAGCAGGACTCTGAGTTCCCTTTGAGCCCTGGAAGGTCACCCTGACAAAGTCCCCACCCTCAATGCCACCTTTCCCCTTGCTTCCCAGGGTGCTTCCTGCTCTGTGACCTCAGCTAACTCAAGTAATGAATAACTCAAGCACATAATGTCCCTTTGGATTGTACTGGGCTGGGCTTTTGTTCCAAGGCCCCTTAGGTGCAGGGTGCTTTAGCAGCAGGTGGAGATCAAAATGTGTGTGGTTCTCAGAGGGTGGGGTGCCTCCAGCAGGTGCAGTGTGCAGCTGGGTGTGGACCATCGGGACCTAAGAACCCTGTTCCCTGGTTACCTGTAGACGGTCATTGGAGGAAGAGTACTCGGTTTGGTGGTATGGCTCAGTCCCCTTTCTGTGCTGAGTAGGAAAGAGATATGGTTCTGGCATCCTAGGATTGGCTCTGCCCAAGGTTAACAGTCTGTGTGGGTGGACAGAGGAGGAGCACTAAACAGAACTGACAGCAGAGGACTGAGGGAGGGCTATCCGAGTGGGGATGACAGATTCCAACTCAGAAAACAGCCAGATGCGGTTGTAATTGATGCAGAATGTACCCGGAGGCAGACACGGGGTCCAGCAGGTAGAAGCAGACAAGCTATCCCTGCCTGTAGCAAGATGGCCATCCAGAGACTGGCCTGAGAGGAGAGACAGTGTCTGTCAAGGCTAAGATTCTTCTGCTCCAAACCGGGGAGGCTAAAATGGATGCGCCTGCAAAGGAAAGAGGGTGACTTTGGCAGGCTGCTGGGGAGAACCAGAGCTGAAAAGAGAACTCCCTGAAGTGATCCACTCTCTTAACCCCTCTGCCGAACAGAATGCAGCCGGGCTCTGCAGAGGCTGTGGAAGACTGAGCTGCCAAGCCCACGTTCACACACACACACACACACACACACACACACACGTGCTCATGCACAGCAGGGCTCTTTTCGGCCAGCACCAGGGTATTTTTAAGTCCCGAGTGAAGGGGCAGAAGGGAGGAGTTAGAAGGTGACTCATTCTGGCAGCAGGAGCTGTGTGCAGTGCAGAGAAAATGGCTCCGTGGCAGGGTGTGTGAAAGCAGCCCAGATGTACCACTCTGTAGCTGGGGGGCTTGGGAAAGGCTGCGGACTGATCAGAATGGCTAGATAACACCAGGCAAGAGGCAGGGTTGAATGCCCTCACCATCCATCCCAGAAGGACACCTGGTTAGTCCACGGGGTGTCATTCTGCTTTTTAATGGACCCCTTCATGTTTAACAGAAAAACAAACTGTCCTCTGTAACAGCTAGCTCTTGGAAGGTCAAGAGGTGACGAATAGGCACTTTCCTTTACTGCTTTCGTCTGTGCTCTTTCTGGCACTCTCTATATCCCTAGGTCTGAAATTGAATCTATGACCTATATGAGAAAATGGTATGAAGATAACCAATAAGAACCCTTTAGCTGAGAGACCAAGGCCCTGGTAATCCCAGTGGTCCAGAAGTACTGACAAAGAGAATCAGAAGTTCAAAGTCATCTTCTGCTGAATAGTGAGTCTGAGGTCAGCCTGAACTACATGAGACCTTGCTTCAAAAACTCAAATGGACTTTTTAACCTTGGCGCTATGGTAAGTTGGACTTTTACGTTGGAAGAACAGGATGCTGCTTGTCTTGGATACTGGGTCCTGATGAATAGACTTCCTAGCTGATGAAGCCACACAACATCAGTATAGTGAGACACGCTAGGATTCTCTGCCTCCTTCCATATTAATGTGTTTATGGTGGAGGTGGCCGTAGCAGAGAGAAGAGGACACATAGAGAATGACGTTTGCTTTGTTCTGGCAGAACAACAGAGATGCTTGGTGTCCCCAAAGAGTGACTCACTGGCGTGTTTGGGAGGTGGTAGGACAGAAGACCCGTGAGTTAGTGGTGCCAAACTATTGCTAGAGCTTCCAGGCCATCCGAGCTGCTTTTTTGTGCGACTCCAGTGAAGGATGAGTTGGTTGGATTTAATTTCCCTTAGAAAATTTGCACCAAAGGAGGCATCTTTTTTTCAGCTTTAAAAATAAAGTCGCTGTGCCGAGCATGTAGTTCAGTGGTAGAGCACTTTTCTAGATGCATAAAGCCCTATCACCGCCACCAGATATGAGGAGGAGCATCAGTCGGGAGTAGTGACAAGGTAGTCCCAATTACTGAGGTGGTTAAGAGTTGGGAAGGTTGCTTTAGTCCAAGAGTGACACCTTTCTTAAAATAAATATAAATTAATTCATTTCAACAATCTTCGATCTGTTTACAAGGCAATAGCAGTGGAGGGGCTGGAGAGATGGTTCAGCAGTTTGGAATAGCATGCTGTTCTTCCAAGGTACCTGAGTTGGGTACCCATCCCCCACAACAGGCAGTTCACATTCTCCAGCTTCTGGAGGATCCAGTGCCTTTGGCCTCTGCAAGCACCTGCACTCACATGCATGAACCTACAAACAGGCTCACATGTATGATGTGTTTATCTAATTATCAATAGAAACTTTATCAATAGAAACTCAGGGGTCAGATATCAGGGTAAGAAACCGATTGATCAGAGAAGAGGCGGAGAAGTGACCAGTGACTCTCTCTCTCTTCTTCCCCTCTCTCTCTTTCCTCCATACAAAAAAAAAAAAAGGCTGAGCCTTTCTTTCAGCCCCTCCCTACTACTTCCTGTGTCTCTCTATCCATCCCCACTCCTCCAAAACCTCTGTGGCTAATTTTGGTCAGCTAGTAGCTGGCTCCACCTTCTGATTCAAGGTAAACTTTTCTGACAGTCTCAGGAGTCTCAGGTACGATCAAATATCAACACACAATTTTTCTGAGGCAATAATAGTGGGCATCTTTCTGAAAGGCTAATCTGAGGAAGGAGGGTCCTGCTAGAACATTCTCCCACTAGAAAGGTTCCAGGGACAAAGGTAGATGAGTTGAAAAGATGGAGTATTTTATGACCCTCTTTGTATTTTTTTTTTTTTGACCCTCAAAGAAGACTTTTGTGGTCTTCTAGAGATCAAAAAAGATGTTTCTTTATGGTAGACCTAAGCTTCAATTTCTAACTGCAGATTCAGTCAAAGGACAGACGGTAATGGTAGTGACAATGGGTAGACTCTCTGTGTTTAGCTAATGTCAGAGGTCCTCTGGTTCAAACTCTCATTGCAGAGTAAGTAAGGTCAACCATTCTCCAATTAAATGCCTCCAGGGACTGTCAACTCCCTATCTGCACGCTCCCCACAGCCAAACATCCGATGTTTGGGAAATTCTGAACTAAACCCTAGCTCCTCGTGACTTCTACTCAATCTTAGTTCCTCGCTTGCAGGATCAAAAAGCAAGCCTTGTACATCTCTGTATATATTGAAAACAACCTTCCAATCCCTAATTTTACACAGTTTTGTTTGGCTTATTATATACATACATACATACACACATATACATATATTCATAAATGTTTATGTGTACTTGCATATGTCTTCACCCTGGTGCCCAGGGTGGCCCAAAGTGGGCATTGCATCCTCTGAAATTGGAGTTCCAGATGGTTGTGAACCTGCATATGGGTACTGAGAACGAAATTTGGGTCCTTTGCAAAAGCAGCAGTGCTCTCTTAACATTTGAGTCATCTCTCCAACCCCTTGGTTTATTTTTTTAAGACAGGCTCATACTATATAGCTCTGACCAGCAGCTCATTATATCAACCAGTCTGGCCTTGAATTCACGCCTGCCTCTGTCACCCCAGAGCACAGAAATGTAAGTGGGGCTCCACCATGCCCAGCTCATTTGCATTTTTAAAGAAAGAAAGCCCCCATTTCTTCAGTCTTTTTGTGAGATGTAGTCTAACCTCTGGCATTCTTCTGAACAAGTCTGATCTATTTGTGCCTTTCTTAAGAAGTCATTCTGGTTCCAGGGAATGTGTGTCCATGAAAGCGAATGCCCATTATGAATCCCAGAATTCACCCAGGTTAAGACTGACTATGTCCCAACCAAATGCTGCTGTTTCACCCCTGACTTCCTTGGTCCTCATCCTCTGCCTACAGTTTGTATGGCCCTGCCATTCTCCTGATCCTGCAGGTGTAGTTCCCACTTCTAGCTAACAAGGCTTCACTTTCAGTCTGGACTCCAGGCAGGAGTCAGGTTGGCACAGTGCACATTTTTCCTAGCAGGTCATAGGTTGTTGGGAAGCTTAAGCCTTGACCGGTATGGCCTAGGTTCCTCCCTCCTTTGTGGCCAAGACATGTGTCACCTCTAGTGTGGCCCCTTTTCTTTCTACAGAACTGTACCTTTGTAGGTCACTCTAGAAATGTGTTTGGGAAATGTAAGTGTGACACTACCCACCAGTCCCTGCTACCCATCCCTATCAATCAATCAGACACACACACACACACACACACACACACACACACACACACTCATACAACAGACAGATAATCTACCAGGTTTGTAAGAAGAAGGCTAATGTTCAAATGCGGGGTGGAGAAAGCCTACGTAGGGAAGGTGACTACAGAGTTGTAGTGGGGCTATTCTCAGGGGCCTCAGGCCCAATCCTGGCTCATTTTCTATCTTAGGATCCAGCTTGGGTTGACTTAGAGAAACAACCATGTATGATGACAGAAATACCTTTGGGAGAGGAAAGAAGGGAAGGAGGAAGGGAAAAAGAAAAGGAGGACTCTTGCAATCTTATCGGTTGGGGTATGTTTAACTGTGAATAACAATTTCAAGACAACGTTGCCTTCGGTGACATGAGATTTTATTTTGCTTTCACACATTCAGAGGTTGATGACCCAGGCCAGGCCAGTGGCTTTATCCACTAAGCGCTCAGGGATCCCTGCCCTTTCCAGCCTCCCTACCATCCCTCCTGTTGCTTTTGTAGCCCAGGATGGTGTCTAGGTCATCAGTCATCATATTCTTGATGGAAGAAAGGACAAAGAAAGACGAAAACGGACACCAACCGCCCTTTATAGAAACATCCATCCTAGAAACTATCTTAGGGCACTTGTGTTTCCATCTCTTTGGTCAGAACTTGGCCACAGGACAACACCTAGGAAATGAGACGCTAAGAAATGTGATCCTTATTCTGGGCACTATGTCCAGCTAAGAACGAGGGGTCCCATCACTGCCTGGCCAGGGGACAGAGCCATTTGATACATACTGATCAGCTCCTTAGTTCTTTAGGACTGCCTAGGCTTTTTAAAAATACAAATCCCAGGAGGGCAAACATTGTCTAACACTTTATTCTCCCCCCCCAAAAAGGATCAAATCCCTTTCTTTGGCTATGAGCAGTCCATTACAAGACTACTCTGTAATCAGACTCTCCTTTGGGCCACCAGCTCACAAATAATGACATGGAGGCTTATTACTATTTATAAAAATTTGGTCTTAACTTAGGCAAGACCCATTAGCTCTTATAACTTAACCCATATTTCTACTCATCTATGTTCTCTCATGGGGCTTTTACCTCTTTCCTATTTTGCGTGTCCAACTTGTTCCTTGTCTACATGGCATCTCCCATGCGCCTAGATTCCTCTGCCTCTTCCCTTCTTTCCTCGGAAACCCCGCCTCTACCTCCTACCTAGCTCTTGACAGTTCAGCTTTTTATTGCAGCAATTAGAGCAATGCATCTTCACAAGGTGTACAAATATCCCACAATAGTGCACCATTAGAGAAGCCCGGGCTGCTGGGGTGAACAGACGTGGCCCTTGAGCAGCCAGGCAGGAAAGCTGGAAGGGATCGTGAAGAGAGATCAGACAGCAGATGGAGGTGCCACCGTCTCTTTGTCAGCTGGCATGGACATTTCTGGATGTCTTACCCTCCCTTTCCTTCTCAGCAGAACGCCCAGCCTCTGCCAGCCTCTTCGGGGGGCTTCTGGGATTTAGACAGCTGTCTCCCATTCTTAGCACAGGCTGCGGTGACACAGGATGTGTGATCTACTCAGACCAGGAATGCCAGCGGAAGTGTCAGGTTCTACACGACTGACAAGGGTCTTAGCACAGCTCACATTTAGCTGTGACTTAATAGCTACGTTTAGCAAATCAATATTTCTTCAGTTTCTCTAGCCTTCTAAAGGATGGGCCGTCAGAGAGAGGAGAGAGGATGGGCCATCGGAGAGAGCTCTGGAAGCCTACACGAGGGTTAACCAACCCTGGGCATGGATGACTGAGGACACCCAGTCACTTCTGTCGGCTTCTCAGCTGTCCTAAACTCCCGTGGCCCTCCGCATTAGGGATGTTCACCTTTGTCTCTAGGCTGGATAACACTGAGCCTCAGGGTACAGAATCCTTGACTCCTGGGGATGGGGATGGGGAGAAAGTCTGAGTCAGGGGTTTTACTGACACTATGCCGTTCTCCATGAACTTGTCCCAGTTGTCTTTCTCCGATCACCTGCACGATTATTTGCTTAAACTTCAGATTCTTAAGAACAGGTTTCCCCTCGCCAGTGTACCCTGACCCCAGCGCTGTGACTGACACATAGCGTGTCCTCGGTTACCTGAGCTGAGTGAGTGACCCTGCTGCTCCTGAATGTCCCCAACCCTGATGCAGCTGCAAGAGTTACCAATGAAAGTCATGAGCTGGCTGCCTTCGATTTGCCTGGCTGACTTCTTTATCCTGCAGCTCCCTGACCTTTATCCCACTTTAAGTGAAGTAAATGGACTGCAGTTTAGAAACCCACACACGAGCAAGCTTTTTAGGTAATTGGGTTTGTTTATTTATGTAAAATAATCTTTTGGGTAGTGCTAGGGACTTAACAGACAGGACCTCACACAGGTTAGGCCAGCACTGTACTCCTGAGCCACAAGTCCAGCACAGGGCACTGTTAACGGCTAAGTTGGAGAAGCCCCACTGGGCTCAGAGAGAAAGTGGGGAGACAGTACAGCTAGGCGACTACTCAAAACAGTAGGATTGAGCTTCCAGGACTTAAGGCTATTGTAGTCAAGAGCCCTGTCTGAATTGAGAGAAAGGAAATTTAGGATGCTACTTGGCACTGGAGGGTTGAAAAGAGCAGGGAGAGCTGGAAGATGGCTGGTTAACGAGGCTAGGGAGTCAGGCTGTGTGAGGAGGAAGTGTGTTCCCTGTGTGCTTATTCACTTAGCGGCCTCACAGAGGGCTTTTAAAAAGTGGCCTTGGTCTCTATCAGCAGGCTGTTATCGCTCCTCTGGCTCTCGGCCCTTATTCCCATAGGCTGATGACTCAGTGTTCTTACCTGTGGCCCTCTGACCCAGGAACAGAGACCTCCCTGGAGCCAAAGAGTCTGATTTCAAGCCTCCTAACTTCCTAAGATATGTGGCTACCTGTGAAAGATGTTTAAACCAGGCCACTAGGAAACTTTAGTACTAGTTTTCTTTGGGGAAAAACAAAAAACGAGAAGTTGGCTGTATAGATGATCTAATATGCTACTTAACAAGAAAGGGCACAAAAGGTCACACAGCAGGTTATGCTAAGTATTTGTGAAGCTTTTGCTGCTAACCATGCTCCCCTTTCTCCCTTCAATTCCAAAGCTCTCTTCCTCTCCCTAGATACCTTGTCTCTCTCTGCTTCCTTGGGAGCTGGTGATTATTTTTTAGAGATCCAAGATTCTTTACTTTCCAGGAGATTCTCCCCCAACTCCTCACCCCTCTTCTCTCGGTGCCATGGGACCCCCGTACTTCAAAGAACAATGACGCACATGGCCCAGGGAGAGAACTAACACCCATAAGCTGTTCTGACTTCCACATGCTCATCCATACCTGTATACACACTACATAAAGGTAAAAAGCAAACCAAAAACCAAAGCCAAGATCTCAGATAATCATTGTCATTTCTCTTTATATTTTAATTTTTATATCGTGTGTAGGGAGTGTTTTATGCACACATGTGTGCAGTGAGGACAAAGGCAAGTGTGCCTGTGTAACTATGAGGTGAGCATCTTATTCTCTAGAGCAACAATCTTCCTAATCTCTGGTTCAGTTTTTGCCTCCCAGTCCCTGACTTAGCTTTCCCCGGATGATGACCTATAACCTGTAAATTTTTTTTAATTTACTACTCCAACTCCACCCCCAATTGCTTTTGGTCAGGTGTCTCATCCCAGCAGCAGAGAAACTAGAACCAACCCCAAAGAGGCTCGCAGGCAGCACCTGGAGGACAACAAGGAAGAGGCAGCTAAGCCTCAATCCTGAGATCACTGAGAGCGAGCCGGGACAGTCCCATTCACCTGGGAATGTCCTAGTGTAGAGCACAGCCTGGAACCCAGGAACTCTAGACAACATTTATCAAAAGCATGCCAGCAGGAAGAAAGGGGTCGTCACACTCAACCAGGGACCTGCTGAGTAAAGGCCAGGTTGTCGCTCAAAGTAACCCTCTTAATACAAAAGCTCTGACTAAGGAATCATCTGGCCAGGCCTTCGGTAAACTACCCTCTGTCTCCTTGCAGGTCAGGATCCTACCAGTTCAGTCCTTGGGATCATAAAATGAAAGGTCCGTTAGGGAGCTCTCCCGGTTATGGCTACGGAAAAGAAATCCTTAGCGGACAGAATGCAGGGTATTTCAGGGAAAAGTCCTCTTTCTAGATTTAGCCATAGGTGTTCTCTGTGGTGCTGCGGGAAGCACATGGGCATTAGGGACGCAGGCATTGAGTGCTACGAAAGCCCCTGGACCACACGAGGCTCCACATTTTCATCTCAGAAATGCACGGGACAGTCATGTTGTTTTGTTCTTGTGCAAGCCTGAGCTCTTCGATGTAAAAGGGCTTAGCGGAAATTTGGCAAACTATGTTCCCACTCACGCTTAAAGTCCTTGAAGTCCAGCATTTCTGTGTGCTCTGTGACTACTGCTTCTCAGTGCCTGACTCCAACCAAGCACCGACAAGATTTGTTAAACAAATGATGTGTCTGTTTGCTTACCATGCTACAGAGTGAAGATGCATCCCAGTATTTTGAATGTACTAAAATACTCTACCATCAAGTAGCCATTAGCATCTGGCATTCAGACTTTGTGTCATGTTCTGCAGACAGAAGATGCATACTGTGTGCCAGAGACTCTCAAACTGCAGCACCAACACTACCACCACCAGCAGCAGTGACAGAAGCTCCTAGGTGTTTATTAGAAGTGTGCTCTCCTGTCTCGGAGGTAAAGGGTACCAATCCATTTTAACAAGTCCTGAGGTTAAAGGTGCATGGAAAACTCCCCTGTGCTGTCATTGGAATGTAACATGTGCGACCAAATGGCTTGCACTATAGCGTGGAGCATGTTGGAAATTTTAGGATATGGCAGAGGCCATGCTCTCTAGGGAGAGGAGTTTTTGGTTTTTGGGATCCGTAGCAGCAGATTCTTGGGTTAAATGATTCTTCAGCTACCCCCTTCACCGCATGATCTCTAGATATTTCTAGAAGTCTGTCTGAACCGCTGTTGTGATCAGAGTGCCTCAGATGGCAGAGTGGACTGGCTGGACATCGGCTCACAGGCGGTGTCATTTGTGAACTGGCCCGTAGTTCTTGTGTTGGTTAAACTAAGCTGAGGTCACAGAGATTCAAACATACTGTGCCTCCAAGAGAAAGAGTATTTCCTTTGCATAACAGCCTAGAAGTGAGGGTCCTTGTCCTCTCAGGGGTCACTCTCCCACGCTCCTCTGGTGGTGGCCTCCTTTGCACAGCAAACTGTGCCATTAGCACACCTGCGTTCCACCTTGCTAAGCCCTCCAAACACAGGCAGCAATCTCTTTGTTTCTTTTTATCTAGTATTAAAACAAAGCTGGGGGAAGACAACGAATTCTCCTGATGTCAACCAAAGTCTTCTCTTGATAAATGATTAAATTTGTTCGTGGTGGTCCCCCTGCCTCCTCCACTCTCCGTCTACAAAGAAAGAATATAATCGAAACAGACTATGTTGTAACTTTTCTTTTTTGCTGAGGTCTAACAATGAATGGTGCTAACTTAAGGTTCTTTACCTATAAATATACTGAAATTAACCTTTGAGCCCAAACTTTAAAAAAAAAAAAAAACCCAGATAAACAGATTCTGACTCCTACCTCTTAGTTATTAGTGGCCTGGGCAGTTACTTAATCTTTGTTTTTCTCTGTTAATTGCTTTTTGGTTAATTTGAGGATGGAAAGCACCAGGGCTTTTCCCCCTATCATAGTCTATAATAGCCATTCAGTGGGTGATTGGCCCCTTCCCTCTCACCCTTCCTTCTTCAGGACCTTCTGAGTACAGAATGTCATGAGATTGAAATGGCCCCATTATTTCATTGAAACTCATAGAATTGTATGGCTTTTCTTGGAGAGATGTCAGAAAAACACCTATTCATCCCAGCAAGGAAGCCAGCAGTACAGGGGAAAAAAAAAAAAAAAGATTCCACCCAAGTCTAGCTTGGTGGACCAGTAATGTTCTTGGCATCACTTACAAGAGCATGGATGACTCAAAGGCAATGGCATCACCAAAAAAAAAAAAGCCTTACACCAGCATGACAGTGGTTCACTAATGCTCATCACCATGGCAACAACCCCACGAACGAATCTACCTTCTACTTCTTAGAAGACCTTCTAGAGCAACTCCCTCAGCTTCCCAAGACCACACACAGCTGAGGGCCAAGGGAAAGTAGCGAGTGGGATCTCTGTAGTGACTGAGGGGGTTGCCTCCTGCTTCTCTGAGGAAATACTAACAGCTGCGGTTCCGTTGCCTCAAACTTAGCCTGCACTATTGTTCTGCTTATCTTGCCAACAGGGTTGTGGGTGACACGCCACAGGTCGCTCAACAACTCTTCCTCATGAAGGCCCACAGTCACGCTGTGTCTGAAGGACATAGCTTTAGTACAGCAAGTAGACAAAGAACAGCTCCTGGAAGGGTGAACGCACATGCATTCGGTTGTATTGGCTCGCCGCTACGTGTGAAGAAAGTTATCTATGTTGAATATTGCACTGACTTGGGCCTGCAGGCCACCAGAATAAGACAGTGTGATTCTGTCCCTTCATGGAGCAGGATTACAGGATGTGAAGGAAGAAAAACGGCTCAAGCCCTGCTACATGGTGCAGAATGAAAATGTGAGGTTTTTGCGACATTATTTTAAAGCCCAGGAGGATGATAACTGAGCGCTAAACAAGGCCTGGGGGTGCCTGTGCTGGAACTGTTCAATACACAGTTATCACTTGAGAAGCCAGCTCCCTGAAAAGTTTTTTTTTTTTTTTTTTTTTGGATTTTTTCGAGACAGGGTTTCTCCGTGGCTTTTGGTTCCTGTCCTGGAACTAGCTCTTCTGGACCAGGCTGGCCTCGAACTCACAGAGATCCGCCTGCCTCTGCCTCCCGAGTGCTGGGATTAAAGGCGTGCACCACCACCGCCCGGCTCCTAAGTGATCCTGTATAAGGCCTTTGGCTCTCCCAGCGCTGCTCCTGAGACCACAAGGGGGGCACTGTTCCTGACGTCGACAGCAGGCTGGGGGTCAGCTAAGCCTCCAGGAGAGATGACGCACTCCAGCTCCTTCAGTCTGGATTGGCAGTGGATGCATCTGTCGTACTCAGCTCCATTTTCAGCTACAGAGGAGGAAAGGGTGGGCTCTAAGTCATTCAGATATGTACCTTGTTGGCAAACCTCTACAGAGCGTCTGCTACATGCCAGGCCCTGTGCTAGGCCCCATGGGACAGTGGCATAGCTCTGCCGTCCAGAGGGCCAGACCTTGGCAGCAAGGTGCAGACTTGTAATCGTTGTCATCACCAGGGTTTCCTAACCTTAGTCTGGAAGTCAAAGACTCAGGATTGGGTACAAATTTTTAAAATGTGTGGGGTATTATAGCTGAAGCTCATTGGAATTGCTCCCTGAGTGAGCCTGGTTTCCCACTCAGGTCCTAGGGTTAGTTTTCTGCCAACTATGGCAGTCACAGTTATACCCTTCTGCCGGCCTTAGACCGCTATCTTAGGAAACAGAGACAGCGTCATGGAGAAGGACTGAGCAGTAAACGAGGTTAATCCTGGGTCCCGACCTCTGCCTGGCCACACAGCTTTGGAGAACCACGGATGTTCAACAGCCGGCAAGCAAGAAGGTCAGAGTTATGCCAAACACATGCAGGAATGGAGCACAGTTCTCTCTGGGTGTTTCCATGGTGACAGTGATAACAGCTTATATTTATAGAGCTTCTATCTCCAAGGAGCTCAAAGCACTTTACAGACACACTATTTCTCTCAGGAGAGAGAGAGAGAGAGAGAGAGAGAGAGAGAGAGAGAGAGAGGTGGACAAAGGAGGGACAACGGATGTGGTGTGTTGTTATGCACATTTCACAGATGGCACAGCGTTGGGAAGTCATTAACCCAAGGTGTCATGGTAAACCAGTAACAGATGGCAGGCTGGATGGACATGATAGTTCGTGGAACTCCTAAAACTCTCGCTGCTGGCCTTGGGCAGATGTCAGGGCTGAGCTACTATGTCCCAATCCTCTAGCGTTGTTCAGTGTCACGTGGGTGATCAGCTAACCCTGGGAACATCACAGACATTTTCACTTAGCTATTGACGGGCCATACATGGACAACTGTTTTATGGAGATTTGGTGATAAGGTTCAAAGTCCTTACAGCAAGACAGCGAGCAGGCAAACCCAGGGATGCGAGGCCTAGGTTTCCTCATAACTTTGGATGGAAATTACTTCACACACACATGTGTATTGTCATAGATGGTTTTGTTTCAGAGTGCCCCTAAATCTTTTGAAGGGAATGCTTCTTGGGTCTCCCTTCCTCTGGCTTATGCCTGATCTAAGAGACAGGTGGAATAGCTCAGAGCTATTTGAAGGCTGTAGCTTATGGAATCAAAAGTGAGTTTTACAAATCTCAGATCTATTTTTTTATGTATAAAAGATGGTATCTGAGAAAAGCTCACATCCTCTGGTGTAGATTGCGCCCTTGGGGGTAGGTTGGACTGACCGATAGTCCCCTCATCGGGCTGCCCCTGCTGTAGGGCTCAGACTACTAATGGCTCCCCACTTCTTGTCCTCCTCAGATTTCTATTTACCTGCTCCACTATTTAGTCTTTGGAATATAGAAGTTATTTTCTCTTTAAGAGTCATTATCCACAGAACAGTTAGCCCAACCAGCAGTCCCCATAGCAACACCGAAAGACACGATCTCCCGTAGATCCGCAGTGTTACTTGCCGTAAACAAATCATACTGTTCCTGAGGTCCATGACCTTAGTTAGGGTTTTGCTGCCCAGTGGCTTCCTGTCCATTTAGGCTTCAGGTACACTGGACTAAAGCCCTGGTTATTTGAGTAGCTAATTTTTGTTTTCTGAAAAGGTATCTGATTCCTCCCCCGCCCCAAGACAACTGAGCCAAGGGAGGTGTTGTAAAAGGGGGCTTTGCCAAGGGTCTTCTGGTCCTCTGCCACAAGATACTGGATCCACTTTTCCAGGTCCCCGAAACAGCCACCCAGACAGCACATCTCCCCTTCGCTTTGTACATGGACTGCAGTCACACTAAAGAGCATTCTGTTCCTCTGAGAGGCCAAGTTCTCCTATAGCTTCTGGCCTTGGACTCTGAGGAGGAAGGACAGAGTCCTGCTTCCTCTTCCACTGAATTCATCCGTGTTGAGTGGCCGAACTCTGTGGCTCAGTCACCACAGCCTGCTCTTGGTTTACCTGTTCCTAGCCCTTAATGACTCTCTTGACCATCCCCACATCCTACCCTTCCTGCCTGTTCCATACAGGGTTTCATCTTTCCCCTTCACAACATTTGGGACCCACAGTGGCAATTCCGTATGTTAACAGACGCTTCTAAATATAATTCAAGATGCTTCTTGAATGTAGAAAAAAACTATTCAGAGGTTTACTTTTAGATTAAAAATGAATAGGCTGGGCCTGGAAAGATGGCTCGTTGGATAGTGCTTGTCAGGCAAGTGTGAGGACCAGACTTCGGATCCCTATCATAAACACTGGGTGGATGCAGCAGCTGCTTGTAATTCCAGGTGGATACAGGGGATGCCCACAACAAGCTGGCTAGCTGGACTAGCCATATCAGCAACTCTCGGTTCAACTGAGAGACCCTGCCTCATTGAATAAGGTGGGGAATGATGGAGGAAGACTACTGATGCCGGCCTCAGTTCCCCACATGTGTGTACTCAGACATGTGAGCTTGCACACACACACACACACACACAC